TGGATGGATGGATGGATGGATGGATGGATGGATGGATGGATGGATGGGTGGATGGATGGGTGGATGGATGGATGGATGGAAATTATTGTTCAGAAAAGGTTGTAATGTGATTGAAATAAGAAAGCCAGAGTACTGATTGATGATTCCTAGAGCTACTGACTTAAATATAGTGTAACAATAAATTAAGTTATGGCACATTGATTTTGTTTGAAACATAAGTATAAAAGAAATCTAATGAAATTACATATTAAAATTATTTTTAATTCTATCAACAGAAAACGCTGTTCAGACAATCTGATGGATGAGGATGAGAAAGACAGGGCAAAGAGGTAAATAGCCAGGTTTTTTGGGAAATATATTTATAAGTTTAACATAGTTTTTTTTTTTAGAAGAAAAAGAGCAAGAAGAGAAGAAACCTGGTAATACTAAAAAGTAGTAGAATTGCCATAATTGTTTTGTTTTGTGCCATTCTTTTTTGCATTTTTGCCTTGAACATGAGAATGTGAGAAATGCGGGATTCTTTCCTTCATATATATTAGTTTTAGGAATTTGAATTTACAACACTAGGGTATACTTATAGCCAAAACAATTTTGTTCTCTTAGCTCTTTGTTGTCTTTCAGTTTGTTTCATTCTAATGTAAAGAATTAATTTTCTTAAGAAGAGATTGCAGTAGTAAATACACATGAGTGATTCCATGTTGTGTGTCTACTAACAATTTCATTCTGTTCATAGGGCTTCACGTAATAAGTCTGAAAAGAAGAGACGTGACCAGTTCAATGTTCTCATTAAGGAGCTCAGCTCAATGCTTCCAGGAAATACATGTAAAATGGACAAAACTACAGTTCTTGAAAAAGTCATTGGCTTTCTCCAGAAACATAATGGTAATTCTTGTGTTATCTTTAAAATTAACAATTACTCCATTGAGTTGTCTTAATATTAATTGCTTTGTAATTAAGTCAAATGCAAAGCATTTATTTCATTAGGTTGTTATTTAGCTGAAAGCAACAGTTTTCCTTTCAAATCATTTTGGGATCTTTCAGTTTCTAACTGCTCTGCTTTGAAACACTTTGTTAACATCAGGGTATCTAAAACTTAAGATGGGCCAAATTTTAAACATTTTACAATAGTTCTATTATTTAAATTGTTTAAGAAACACATTTTAATAAGCTCCAGTTTAGCCAATTTGCCAGAAATTAAGAATTTAAACAGATATGGATGTGGTAATTTTGAAAGAGTCATAGCTGGTCTCATGAAATGACTGCCTTAATTGTTACTGAAAATAACAGAACCATAATTTCCTAGAAGACATTTTGGAAAGATAGATTTGAAATTGGAAGTCCACAACATCAAACACTCTTTTGAATTCACTATTTTTCCCTCTAGCTTCCAATTCTATAAGGCAACTTGGTGACATCATTCCACATTTAAATATTCCTCAACTTACAACTATAACTTTCACCACAACATCTGTTGCTAAATGATGCCATTATAAATTACACCCAATTTTACTACCTTTTTTGCCATGGTCATTAAATGGACCTCATGGTTGTTAAATCAAATCCAGTTTCTGTATTGACTTTGCTTGTCAGAAGACCCTCTGGGAAGTGGGCAAATGGCAGTCATGTGATGCTACATGTAGGTTGGTTACCAGATACCAAATTTTGATGACAAGACCTCAAGGGTGTAACAGCATCATGAGTGCAAAGACCAGTTGTAAGTCACATTTTTAGTGCTGTCAAACAATTGTTAAATGAAATGGTTGTAACTTGACAATTATTTGTACATTTAATCAGCATGCCATCTCAACACACATACTGTAGTAGTAATAGTTGGTTATTTTATGTGTTATGTGCTTATAAACACAGTACAAACATAGGAAAAGTTTCTACTCTTGTGTACCTTTGCTTATAAATCAAAACTTTTAGCTATAATAATATGCTATTTTATGTATGTCTAGAACAAAGTTATCTACAGTCTGATTCTATTTATTAGACTTTTTTGAGCGGATATAAATTAATTGTAGATCCTTAACATAAACTTAAAATTTATACCACTATTTCTCAAATAAGCAAAACAAAGCAACTAACATTTGCACACAAAGGAAAGAGCAGGCAAAATACACTCATAATGTACACTGTTTTTAAAAAAGATTCTGAAAATACCTTTGGCACTTGGTGGAGGCCAGAAACATTAATGAAAATAACAGTGACAGTGGGAGTGGAAGTTTATAGTCCCATATAGTAATCTCCCAGTTAGTAAACTAATTATACTTAATTAATGAAAATATCAGGATGTGTAGGGAATAAGTGCAAAACATGCTGTGTGTAGTCATCATCTTGGAAATAGATGGCTTTCATATAAAGCCAAAATATGAATTATTAATTATAATTATTTTACATTTACAGTAATTACATTCCAGGGATCCTTTAAAAATGAAAGGAGACAATATATTTTTAAAAACAAATAATATGTAAATGGAAGTAGTGACTTTCTTTGGAAAGGTACAGCTGTAGATAGATAGATAGATAGTTAAATAGTTAGATAGATAGTAAGATAGATAGATAGGTAGGTAGTAGATAGGTAGTAGATAGGTAGTAGATAGGTAGTAGATAGGTAGATCGATCCTTCTTTGGAAGATATAGTTCTTTGGGAGATATAGCTTTTCCATGTGTCTTTTAAAATATGTGTACTTACCTATGTTATATATTTCATGTGTATAAAGATACCCAGTACACAACAATTATAACAGGATCAAGATCAAATAATCAAAATCAAATAATTGAAATGCAAAGCAATATCCTAAAATATTACCCCATGTGTTGCAGGGCTAATATTCAATTCATCCAGAATTGAATTTAAGAAAGTTTTTGTCACTATAACAAACTTTAGGCATGAAAGGGTTATGAAAGAGAACAAAGATTACTCTGTGTGATTTCCTCCTTTAAGGGCAAGTAAAGAAAAAAGGAGACTTTGTATGTTAAAACTTAAACTTGTATATTGTGGAAACTAAGGGCCATTTTAAAGAGAAGATACATTTTGCAAATTAATCATTCTGCAATTGAACTAAAAATCCTTATCTTTGTAGATCCTTTATAGAAATCAAGATAAACTTGTTTAAAAAAATCTTATAGCAGTTGTGCTGTGACCTAGTCATTAGTAGATTTATAATAAGATATTTTAATTTGTTTAGAATTTTCAGTGCAGACAGAACTTTGTGATATTCATCAGGAATGGAAGCCCTCTTTTCTCAGCAATGAAGAATTCACTCAACTGATGTTGGAGGTGAAAACAATTTTTACAAAACTTTGAATATCAATGGTTTTCTAAATAAGCTGTCCCTTCCAGATATGTTGACTTCAACTCCCAGAGTTATCAGTGGCTTATGAATTGATCAGCATATCTGGAATATTTCCAGTTTTGGAATATTTAATTGAAGAAATCTGATGGTATTCTATAAGATGGGTATTTCAATCTATAACTATAGTTATTGATGGGTCTCTGTAAAAGAAAAATAACTAAAAAGCCATTATCTATGCATGCCAAGTAATTATATAAAATGATTGCCAAGAAGAGAAAACAAAATATAAACTACACGTAGTCCTTGGGTTATGATAGCAACTGGGAAGGAAATTTCTGCCACAATGTACTCATAATTCATGATCATATTGGCTATTTATAGGATACCTATATGTTATATAAACCTTTTGGAACAAGTAGGAATAAATAAATGCTCTAAAGCATGCACATTTTAGCTTGAAGGAGTAGGCTGTTTATAATCCAGGTTTGGATATAAATTGTGTACAGGCCGCATATAGTTTGCATGTATTTTTGATAATTTCATAAACTCTGCCCAAAACCTCTGCTTCTTCATAGTTTCTGGAATTCACAAATCGGATTTCTATGCCATATTCAGAGTCTTTTGTAACTTCTTGGTTGCATCTCTCAATAGCAACACAAGCATCATTTTCCTACCCCCTTTTAGAGAATGAACATACTTTTTCCCCATAGGCACTGGATGGATTTATTATAGCAGTCACCACTGATGGAAGCATCATGTATGTTTCTGATAGCATCACACCTCTTCTTGGACATTTGCCGGTGAGTGGTTCAAATACATTCATTTTGTATCTTACTTACCCTGCTCTAACACTCTCAAAGGGACTCTTTAAAAAGCCATAAATACTATTAAGTGCCATCATGAAATTTACTTTAACCAATTTAAGAAAAACTAGTAAATGAAATCTTGGACAGAAATTTGCTCTTTATGTGTGCAGTGTCATGATTCATGTAAAAGAGATGGAACTTGCATCAGAATGTCGTAATTCTGATTAAATCTCTTTGCTGTCCTCTTGTGGTTATGTAGAATTTTGCAACCCAAATTTGGAAGTCCTTGAAAAGAGGCAACATTATGGAACTGTTGTTAGAAAGGAATGTGACAGCTGAGGGTTTGTATGCAAAGATCTGGAAAAACTAAACATTCTATACTAAGAGTTAAAAATGTGATGAAGAAGAGAAGCTGAGATCAGAAATTCTGACAATTAAATTACTGAAGGCACACACTATTCCAAGTAGATGAGAAACTGGAAAACCAATATGATTACACAGGAAATTGAGAGATAAGACTTAAAAGAGTATAAAATGAAAAATAAGGCAAGGATAAATATAGTAGAGTTGCCCAGACTTGTTAAGCTTGTCTCAGGAAAGCTAAAGTCCAACATGACAGAAAAATCCTGAGGCAACCTAACAAAAACATAATTTCTTTGACTTTGATTCAGTGAAAAACAAAGAAAGACTTGGTGTGCCAATGTATCAAATAAGTTATATAAATTATCTCTTGGCTGTGCCTTCTCCCATTACTTTTCTATACAGGAAAAGTAAAAGTAAGAAGGAACTTACAGCCCAGAATAAGTAAGGAGATGCTACTTCAAAGTTTCCAGGCACAGATGAATTATATCCCAGAGTGATAATGAAGTTTTCTGGAGTTGTTAAGGACTTTTGGAGAACAGGTGAGATGTGAGAAGATTGGATACAGGCAAATGTTCTTATTGTTCATTCAAGAATAAGAGATGGACTTGGAAGTATGCTGTCAAAATTAACCAGATTCAGAACAGTTTCATCGTTCCTGAAATTTAGGGAGACAATCACCTTAATCATGAAATCAAATTATACTGCCTATATATAGGATAAAATAATAGGCATACAAGCAGATTTGATGTAAAAATTAAAATTTTAATACTTTCAAAATGATTGCAAAGAATGGGATGCCTATTTTCTATCTTTCGTTTTAATACAGTTTTGTCATTTTACAGTCTGAAGTCATGGATCAAAATTTGTTAAAATTCCTCCCTGAACAAGAACATTCAGATATTTATAAAATATTATCATCTCACATGCTTCTAATGGATACTATTTCATCGGATTATCTAAAATGTGAGTGATTAAAAAAGTTTGTAAATATAACTTTTTAAGTTATGCGATCAATGCATAGTTAAAAAGGACAATAGATGAAGGAGTACAATTTTTAATTTTCAAATTAAAGATATCTGTAGGCAATATTCACCTGTACAATTTAACACAATTATTATACCTTAAAATGGAATTGATCTCAATAAATTAATTGTATGTAGTCTTAGTGAAGAAAAATTATTACTGTCATCAGAAATTAGACATGTTCATATAACTAAAATACTTTCATATGATTACATATTGAATTAAATATTAAATACTTAATGATTACATATTGAATTCCTTTAATAGGACTGTTGATAGAGTCTCAAAATTTATGTTTCTTTAGTACAAATGATTTTTTAAACAAAACATTATAAGAAAAAGATTATATGGCAAATAGATAAAGGTTTCACAATAACAAGTGTAGATTTTAAAATTTATCTTTTTTACTTTTGAAAACAAGACATTGTAAAGAAAAGGGAAATGCCATTTACATTCCATTGCTTTTCATTATCTTTAAGTCTATGTGATTTATTTCATAGAATGGTACTGAATAATGGGAAAATGTTAATCTCAATCCTTGATTTAAATATGCATGAGAAATATCTATTTATAGTTGTGAACAACCTAGATTCATGCAAAGCTTCATCAAAACGTTGAGATATGAATCTTGTGCATCACTGAATTCATTGGGGGTTTTCCTTTTGTGTAATTATATAACTCTCAAGAAACTATATAATTAACAAATAATGATTATTTTACTAATGCCTTGTAGTATTTTATGTAAATTTCAGGTAATGAAGATTTAGAATTTTACTGCCATCTTCTGCGAGGAAGTCTGAATCCAAAGGATTTTCCAACATATGAATACATAAAATTTGTAGGGAATTTTCTATCTTACAATCATGGTAAGAACTTTTCAGTTCTATAGGAAGAAATTATGACCACATTTTCATGGTGAAATATAATTCTAAAAATAAACTATTTTAAAATGTTTAAAAATACTTAAAAGTTATTAAAAAAGAAGACTTGCTGACATTCAGTGCTTGGATTAAAATGTTTCAGAGCTCAGCATTAACATTACTGGCACAACAAGGAATATTTTATAAAATGCAATTAGCATTTCATAGTTCAGACTGAAATTCCTAGTTTTGCTAAGGAAGCAAAAATATTGAGCTTTATAGGAATTAATTCAAAATGCATATGGTTATGACTGGAACTCACATTTCAGATCAAAACAGATAGTCCATTGGCCACATGATCTTCTTTAATCTAACAGTATTTTCTATATGCTGTCCATATGTCGTTCCTTAAGGACATATTTCTTTCATCTTCTTCAGACATCTAACATTCTTTTAGCCATAATATTTTAAATGCAGGAAAAATGAGCAATTCCTCATAATAACACATTAATTTATCTTGTTTGGGGGAGCACTTTTGTTGTGTTCAGTTTTTTGAATCTGTCATATTTATATAATTTAATCAGCAGATCAGTAAAAACTCATTCTTCTACAGCAACAAAAGTAAGCATTCACAGCAAAGTCTAGCCATCATATTTATCTTTTATACAAAATTTTTCTTTTCTTTCATTCTTTTTCTTCTCAGAAATCATGTGTTCTCTGTCTTCTGATCTAGAATGCACAATTAACCATTTTAAAATTACTGGCATCTTTCTATAAGAAATCTTTATCTTCCATTCCCACTTTATGAGAAAAGTAAATTTCTCCATGCTACAACTTTTCTCCTTTCTTTACATCAATGTTATATTGCCCAATAAACATACAGTAATTGAAAAACCCCAAGTAAGAGGACCTCAGATATAATACTTCTTGTTAAATTGCTTTCATGTAATTATTGTTTATCTTCCATTCATTTATTTATTAAAAATGCACCAAAGGTATAGTATTGACAGCATGTATTTGATTTCAAATAGCCAGGTTGGATAGGTGGTCAATACTAGGGCTGGAAATCATTAATATCAGGGTGGTAGGCAAGATTGGCAAGTTAAAGAAACATCCCAGAATAAGGCAAACACTTCTGTACTGTTCTTGAGAAAACAAGATGTACATGTCAGTATATTGAATATCAGAAGTCAAGTTCAACTTGAGAGAAATTTTATCTTTAAGATGTTAAAAATATCAATGTAATTGGCACCAACAGGTTGATTTATTGACATTTTTATTGATTTTTGTTTATTCTTTACACAAAAATTATAATCTTTATCTAATTACGTTGTATTAGTATTAATTGATAAAATAGTGGCTTACTCATTTTAAAAGCTGTGCTTGGACATTTCAAAATATCTTGGACAAGAACTATGATGAGGTTATTATCCAAGTATGCACTGATGATAAGATAGCTTTCCTGTTTATGACTAATTACTCATCATGATAGAAGTCTATAAATATGTCCTTCCTAGAGAATATATTAAAAGGCAAGACATAGGCATTTTTGAGTTACATATCTCCTGAAACATTCCAGTTAGCCCTCAAAACTTAAAATGTGTTGCAAGTTGAAATAAAACTTTATCATTGGTAAGTTAGTGAATGCTGAACTTTATGGATTACATATGAAATAAATGACACCTCCCAACCAAAACAGGGAGTTTAGAAATGACCCAAACAGGCTCATCTCATAGTGTTTTGGAATATCAAATAAGCCCCTTCCCAATTACACTATTATTCTGACTCAGCTGACTTATTTTCACATCTGAATCTCACCTTTCCTGTCCACATTAGAAGACATGGGGCATTTACTACCTTACCACATGGCCTAGATTTCCAGAAAAGTACATTCAGCCAGAAAAAGTACATTCAGATATAACGGTGTGGGATTTTTCCATATTAGTACATTTCATGTGTATAAAAAAGTTAGCTGAAGCACATTTGCCAGAAAGGCATAACACTTTGCCTTCTAATTTTCTTATCCAGTGCCTCTATCTGACTGTCACAGCTCTGAAGATGCTGTTCCTAGGGGTTACGGAACACCACAAGGAAAACAAATCTGCTTTGTTGCTACTGTTCGGATGGCCACCCCTCAGTTCTTAAAGGCAAGTCCGTCTTAGACTCTTACCGATAATAGTGGTCCTACTGATATCTAGGATTGTGCATGCCTTGGAAATGATTGAGAAGAAATACTCCAGAGAATTTTTAATGAGAGAATTAGCTCAGCACATCTTCCTTTCATTAAAGCAGCCTGAAAGATGTGACAACATTTTGAAAATTATGTTAATGTTACTGGCTAGGAATTCTAGAAGATGTAGTACCAGCCTCCCTACAGAAAACCTAATCAGGGAAGGCTGATATATATACTCCTGAATGGAAAATATGTATAAATATGGAAAGTGTTAAAATAAGTCAAGTTATTATCTGCAGATACTATTTCCAATCAAATTGTGAACATCGTTTGGATTTTTCTCTTGGAGATTAGTTTCTTCTTATATATGTCACTGCAACTAATTAAGTCTTTTGTCCAATATTTTTTTTTTGCACGTACAGGCAAAAACAGAAATTAGTTTTCACTATGATCAAATCTGCAAAAAAAATGTGTTAGTTTTTTTTTAATGCAAAACATTAATTAGGCCAAAGCACAGGATCTAATTATTAAGGAATAAGACTCCTATTGGATAATATTTTTTATTTGGTCGTAATGTACAGTAAGACATTTTCATGCATTCAGACAACTCTTTTAATTTTAGCTGAGTTCAGTTGTACTCCATAAAAGAAAAGGGATTGTGTCAGCACTTATCTTCTAATGTACAGCGTCTGTTAAGTTGTTGGGGGAGGGGATGTAAGTGCTTCTGTTAAGCATATCTGGCATGTTGTAAACAATATGCAAACCTAGAATACTTTCCACTTCACAATGGAATTTCCTCTTCTTTTGTTCTTCTAGAGTCTTTATTGCCAGCAATATCTAACATATAACAATGACCCATAACATTTAGTCTTCTTTTCAAAAACCATAAAGCATCATAATACTCTCCCCAAATAAAAATATATTTCATCAATTAAAACAAATAAACCAGATAGAGTAACCACTTAACAGAATTTAATTCTAATATAGGAAATGTGCATTGTTGAAGAATCTTTAGAGGAATTCACTTCAAGACACAGTTTGGAATGGAAATTTTTATTTCTGGATCACAGGTAAGTATAAACAGTGCCCTCTTCCCCAGATAATTGTTGTTGACATGAATTAAGTTTTATAAAATAGTGCTTTGTTTGTTCTATAAATAATTGTATAATGGCATACATTATTAAAATCATCACTAAATAAAACTTTTGTTAGTCAACATTAATTAATTTTTGTAAGTTTTGTAAGTATATGATGTATATTGAATTAGCTATTTTTATGTGTTGATATAAGTGGAATATATATTGTAAGAAAATAGAAAATAAATCAATAGAATAGAATAGAATACTTTATTGGCCAAGTGTGATTGGACACACAAGGAATTTGTCTTGGTGTAAATACTCTCAGTATCCATAAAAGAAAAGATACATTCATTAAGAATCAAGAATCATAATGTACAACACTTAATGATAGTCATAGGGTACAATCAGCAATCAAATCATACTAGGAAACAGTCAATATAAATTGTAAGGATACAAGCGACAAAGTTACTGTCCTACAATCACAAGTGGGAGGGGATGGATGATAAGGAGTGATGAGAAGGTTAACAGTAATAGTAGTGCAGACTTTGTAATAGTTGAACAGTGTTGAGGGAATTATTTGTTTAGCAGAGTGATGGCTTTTGGGAAAAAACTGCTCTTGTGTCTAGTTGTTCTGGTGTGCAGTGCTCTATAGCATTGTTTTGAGGGAAGGAGTTGAAACAGTTTATGTCTGGGATGTGAGGGGTCTGTAAATATTTTCACAGCCCTCTTTTTGACTCGTGCAGTATACAAATCCTCGACTGAAGGCAGGTTGGTAGTAATTGTTTTTTCTGCAGTCCTAATTATCCTCTGAAGTCTGTGTCTGTCCTGTTGGGTTGCAGAACCAAATCAGATAGTTATAGAGGTGCAGATGATAGAGTCAATAATTCCTCTGTAGAACTGTATCAGCAGCTCCTTGGGCAGTTTGAGCTTTGTGAGTTGGCACAGAAAGAACATTCTTTGTTGTGCTTTTTTGATGATGTTTTTGATGTTAGGTGTCCATTTTAGGTCATGTGATATAGTAGAACCTAGAAATTTGGGAGGTCTCTACTGTTGATACTGTGTTGTCTAGTATTGTAAGAGGTAGTAGTATGGGAGGGTTTCTTCTTCCACCATTTCTACGGTTTTGAGTGTGTTCAGTTCCAGATTGTTCCAGTTACACCACGAGACAAGTTGTATAACCTCCTGTTTGTATGCAGATTCGTTGTTGTCTTGAATGAGACCAATCATTGTTGTGTCATCAGCAAACTTCAGTATTTTAACAGATGGATCATTTGAGATGCAGTCATTGGTATATAGGGAGAAGAGAAGTGGAGAAAGCACACAGCCTTGGAGGCCCCTGTGCTGATTGTACAGGTATCGGATGTGATTCCGCCTAGCTTCACCTGCTGCTTCCTGTCTGTTAGGAAGCTTATCATCCACTTACAAATCTGTTCAGGTACTGCTAGTTGGTTTAATTTACTTAGAAGAGTGTCTGGAATGATGGTATTGAATGCTGAACTGAAATCTACAAAGAGGACCCTTGCGTAGGTATTTGAAGATTCAAGGTGTTGTAGGATGTAGTGCAGAACCATATTAACAGCATCATCTGTCGATCTATTTGCTCAGTATGCAAACTGCATGGGATCTAACAGCGGATCCATGATGGTTTTCAGGTGGGACAGCACAAGCCTTTCAAAAATTTTCATAACTACAGATGTTAGAGCAACTGGTCTGTAGTCATTCAGTTCCTTGATGGAGGGCTTCTTTGGCACTGGGATGATGGTAGAGCGTTTGAAGCAGGAAGGAACATAGCACATCTCTAGTGATTTATTGAAGATTTGGGTGAAGATGGGGGCCAATTGGTCATCACAGATTTTAAGCAAGAAGGAGTTATCTTGTCTGGCCCTGGTGCTTTTCCTGGCTTTTGTCTGTGTAATAGATCTTGCACTTCTTTTTCTGTGATCAGAAAGTTGCATTGGACTTTTAGTCAGACAATATACAGAATATAGATATATACTGTATTCCTAAAGTTTATGCAAAAACTAGAATCAAGAAAAAATTAAAAATAATGCAATGCTGTATTCGTAAGGGTATATTTTCTTAAATAAACAAAGAAATCACATTGAATTGAATTTTCCAAGGTAACATAATTAGGAGAAACACCAGACCAAGTATTTGCCAATTAAGCTTACTCATATAAGTAGCCTATCTTTCAAAGGCTGCTCTTTAAAATTGGGCACCCTCCCCAAATTTTATTCTTTCATTTATTTTGAATATTTATAAGGTTGCCAACTGGGTAGGCAGAAAATGAAGCAAATATTTGCCAGAGGAAGCCAGATTGTAAAAAAATAAGCCCCCACTTTAATTTTGATTAATTGTAACTTTCAGTTTTGACCCAGGTAGATAAATACTGCATAGTTTTCATAATGGAACTATTATTAATTTATATGTATCATGTTTCTAATGAGTTATGTCTGTCCTTTAGAATATGGTTGTCTAAAAATTCTATATGAGATTGTTACCTACATACTTAATGTTTGGTTGTTAAATCAATAACCACAACCAAAAAAAATCCTTACCACACATCTCCTTGTCTTTGAATTTGTGATATCAAATTATATAGACAGGGTATATGATATTCTTCTTTACCCTTAATTAGAAAGGATCTTCCTTTAAAAGACTTTAAGACATGACTGCCAGATTCTAGTAATATTTCCGTAATGTATTTCAGTAGTGTTGCCTAAGACTATTTACATTATCTTTTTTCTTACCATTGTATTTTTCTTTTTAAAATTCAACCTGGAATTTAGTTGTTTTTGTTTGAGACCAGTCTTGTATTGCTCCCAGTCACAAATTACTTAACTTTTTTCAACTGATTTTGCTTTTAATTCCTCTGCTTTGTTTCCTTAAAAAAGATTTGGTAAGATTTGTGCAAGATATTTGTATATATTCTTCCTGTTTTCTGGTAGTATATAGCAGTAACATACCTGTCCCTTTGTGTCAGTTGTGTTTCTATATGTTGAAATTTTCTCTGTTGGACCATAGAACTCAAATGCTGTTCTTCATGTTTGTAACACTCAAACAAAATTATTTCTCTTAATACAGAGCCCCACCAATTATAGGATATTTGCCTTTTGAAGTGCTGGGAACCTCTGGCTATGATTACTATCATATAGACGACCTACAGCTCTTGGCAAGATGCCATGAACACTGTGAGTATTGCGTTCCTCTGAGCATGAGAATCCAAGGAGGCAGCTGAGGGCACTGTTTGTGTTATATTAAAAATGAAAATCAGGTGGTGAGCTGATATCAATGTAAGCCTGTATTCTGTGAAACTTTACAGAACATTTACAAAATTATGCAAATACTAAATATCTGTAATTTAGAATTTAAGGAATATTGTTGAAAAAGTAATTACGGTATTTAAGACAAGTTATTGAGATAAAGTGAGTTAATTTTGGCTACACTTTATTCTTCGTTTTATTAAATCTCTGAAGTGATAGGCATAAAATAGTACAGACATAGCCCTTAGCAATTACTAATTAACAAAACCTCAAATGTGGAAAAGCTAATTTATAAAAATGAATGTGGTTCATTCCTTGTAATTTTAATCCTAAATTTCTAAGTCAGGCTTAAGCCAATTGGTCTATACTACCAGTTTAAAATCTTTCAATTTGATAGATCAGATTTGTGTTTCATTCTCTGTTAGAAAGGAAACTCAAGGCCCAATTCCTTCTCAGTTAATAAATCACAGACATCAGCATACAAGCAGTTTTCATTTTACTGCTGCTACATTATCAAATCAAAAGGAAATATAAAATAATAGTACAATAATAACAAATAATAAAATTACAATGTAGCAATAAAACTCAGCTAATCTCAAAGAGTACGATTGAAGAAATTGTTCACACTTTTTGCACACTAATAATGCAATTAAATTATAGTATATGTTATATAGGATTCTTATTCAATAGGGGCATATGCTGGAGATAGAAATCCATAAGCACATCATACTTAAAATGTTCATATCAGTTTGAAAATCCATATAATATTTTCCATGGCACATAGTTATGAATTTCATGTAATCAAATGAATTTATGTACTTTAAATTTTTAGATATTATGCATCATTTCACTTTTAGCAAGAGACTCTTGTATCCTTAGGGAAATTTGAAAGTGCTGGCAAATTCATAAATCTCCCAGAATAATTTTTAACTAACATATTTGAAATGTTTTTGAAATTTTCTTTCTATCCACAAATAGTGATGCAATTTGGCAAAGGGAAATCTTGCTGCTATCGATTTCTGACCAAAGGACAGCAATGGATCTGGCTACAAACGCATTACTATATCACCTACCACCAATGGAACTCAAAACCGGAATTCATTGTGTGCACTCATACAGTGCTGAGGTATGGAATATCAATTAATGTGCTATCAGGAGAGACCTTATTTTACCAGAAGAGTTTGAAGATCTAACTTAAGAGCCATTCAGTATACAATAATGGCTCTCTCTCTCTAAATCATGGATGTCAAACTCGCCCCGTCATGTTGCTGTCACATGACATTTCCCAATGTTTTTCTCATTCGCGGAGCTGGGATGGGCGTGGCCTGTGAGTGACTCATCAGACCACCAGTTTCATATCCCTGCTCTAAATGATATGGAAAACTGCAATCAATACTTTGAGCTTTCAGGAATTGTAAATAAACTTAATAATTAACTTTAATATTAAAGTTATTCATTATAATATTTATATTACTTTACTTAATAATTGTAAAGTCTATTGTAAATAACTTTCATAAGACATTTGGTTTCTATGATAGTGGTAGAAATGAAAGAGTTAAAAGTGGTACAGTGAGTACTTCTTAAATCGATGAAATACTTTAGAAAGTTCTGAGAGTAGGCAGAAAAATGACGATTAGGAATCTAACAAATTGTGTTTTTTTCAGTGTCCTGGTAAGATATCTAGATGAGGATAATCTTGTTGATTGCATTGAGTGTTGTGTGACACTGGAAATAACATCTGGTTTGGCTCAAAATAGGGAATAAAAATAGGAATTCTAATGTTTATTATGACCTGAGGATAGTGGCATGCTAACAAAGAAAATCTCAAAGTTAAATCTTACTGTATACTGTCTGTTATGAAAGTAGAGCAGCTTGGTAGGTATATAATACATTTTGGAGCAGCCTGCTGTAGAAATATGGCCAGTGACAGCAGAAAGCAACCCATGCCATCAAATTTTATGTATTAGTTATATGTACTTATGAAACTTGTACTTATGTATCCAAAGAACCAGTAATGGTCTCCAAAGCTATGTTCTTTGTCTGAAGCCTAGTTTTATGAAGGTATATGCTATGATTAGAGATAATATTTTATTTTTATTTTACATACATGGATTGTAGATATAAAATATAATCCATTATACATGTTTGAATTAGATAAACTTCATATTTTAATTACATAATACATTCAGGTTTGATGTAGTAAATAATTAATTACATGCATTAGAGTTGAAAATGATAGAATGGATATAATTCTCCACGGAAAATTATAATGTTCAATCAGTTATGCAGATGTTCGAGTGGAAAGGCAGCAAAATCTGATTTTAGAAGATGTACCTACAGATATCATCTCTTCAGTATTAAAGGTATAACAGAATGCCTACACTTTTCCTTTTTTTCATCAATAGTTATAAAGTTTTGACTGAATTAATCTGAATTTACACACACACACACACACACACACACACACACACACACACACATCTTTTCTCCAATGTTTTAGCTCAAATGTTTTTGATTTTAACTCTCAAATTTTAGGTAGTTTTTGTATTATATTGGGTGGTGCGATGAATCATTGATTAAGATGCTAAGCTTGTTGGCTGGAAAGTCTTTGAATGATGGAGTGAGCACCTGTTTTTGCCTAGCTCCTGTCCATCTAGCAATTAGAAAGCAAGCAAATGTGTGTAGATAAATAGGTACCACTTCGGTGGGGAGGAAACAGTGCTTCACAACATCATGCTGGCCACATGACTGGGGAAACGTCTTCTGACAGTACTAGCTCATGACCTCCAAATGGAGTTAAGTGCCTCTGCCTATACTTGACAACAACTAATGGAGTTAAATACCCAGGGACAACTTTCCTTTCCTGTATTACCTTATTTAGAGAAAACTCAGAGCAATGAATGAAGTTATGTTTTGAATTATGTTTGCAGCTAGAGTGCCACATAATTTCGTTAATATACAGGTGGGGGTACTGTTGTGGAAGACAGTGGGAAAGAAGTGGAGAAGAAGGTTGGTGGATGTAACAAAATCTTAACTCTAAACTTACTCCATGTTTTGGGTAGGAAATGCTTTTAAAGCAAAGAGACCCTTCCTTAATTGGTCTGTCTAGGAATTTACGTTTTCAATATTATATTTTTATTCCTGAGAAGTGCAAAAATGCTTTTCTGAAATTCATGTGGTTCTTTCATCATGGGTTTGCCAACCACTTGGGGCATGTCTACTGTAACTTGCAGTGACCTATGTGTATTTTGATACATACCTGTTGTGTATCACCTTTTAATTTTGAAGAAGCATGTTGGAATGCTTGAAATGCAAAGGGAGGATAGATTCTCGGGTGATTCTTGTTCACGGGATATCTGGAGCTCTATATGCACTTCTGAAATGCTACAGAAGTGTTGTGTTCAAAAGAGTGCGTGGCTAATACTTTCTTCCCTTGTACACTCTTTCAAGATTTTTCTGTCTACATTTGTACTTTGCATGATAAATACTTTTGCTTTATTTTCAAGGACAATGTCCCAGATTTGACTCCTCAACAGCATTTTAAATCACTTGAATTAGACACAGCGGTTCTCAACAGCCAGATATTTTCTATGTCTTCTCAAGGTTTACAAAAATCTTTGCCTTCATCCTTGCCTGAAATAGCATGTAAGTTATGGTTTTTCTCAAAATATTAATTTGGAGTAAAGAACTGAAATGTATTATTTGGCCCAGTATAGGAGAAATTATAAAGATGATAATATAATTTGTATAAAAGAAAATTGAAAGATTAAATTAATATACTATAATACAATGGATATCATGAGGATTTTCGTTTATTATTTTATATATCATTGACTGCCACTGACCATCATAGCGTCACATCAAATCTTCTGGTAATAATCATTTGGCCCTTATGATTAGATTGCCTATCTATTGCCTATATTCAGCTACATTGCTTCCATAAAGCTATCTAGTAAGTTGGATTGAGGTGAGGTTTGAACCAAGTCAACAGTACAGATTAAAATATTTGGATGAAGAGTATCTCAGAATGTTGTTCAATAATGCTAACATATTTGTATTATAAAGTTATGATAGTATAGTGGTAGAAAAATGAATAATAATACCATGTAAAACATTTGGTTCAAATATTTTAAGTTGATCATTATTATAAAAGTTTGGACTACAATTTTTTAAAGATAATTTTATCTTACTCCAAACGCCCTCCAAAAGAAAGCTAAATGAAAATATTTCAAACACATAAGAAGATACTCTATTGTAACCAAAAATATGATAATAAACACTCAGCCCCTACCTGTGATATTGTTACAACTGTCTTTCTGATTCCTATCTTCTGTAATAATTGGTCAAAATTCAAATCCACCTTTGATTTCACAATTACTTAGAATCTTTCACATAAATAAACTCAAAGTTGCAAATAAATAAAGCAAAAGAATGAATGAGGCTTCAAGCTAGTTCTTAGAGATTTACAAAGGAACGGGCCTTTAAGAAGTGCTATTTTAAAGTACTTGTTATTTTAAAAAGGCCATGCAAGTTGCCGGATCATTAAAGTAATAGGTATATGGAAGTTGCACACATTGCAGACAAAGATTTTAAAAATGGCCCTGTCTATTAAATTCAGGCCTTGAGGTGAGATGGATGGCAAATAAATCTAATAGATAATAAATTTATAAATAAATAAATAATAAATATTGGCCATGTAAGTCATCTAGAATCACTTGCTTGAGTTGCACAGTTATAGAAATTGAATGAATTAATGAAGTTATATTAATAACAATAACACTTAGACTTATATACCACTCCATGGTGCTTTACAGTACAGAGTGATTTACAGATGTCAACATATTGCCCCAAACAGTCTGGGTTCTCATTTTACCAACCTCAGAAAGATGGAAGGCTGAGTCAACTTAAACCAGTCAGGATTGAATTGTTGACCATAGGCAGAGTTAGCTTGCAATACTACATTCTAACACAATGCCACCACACCGCACATTCAGTTCTGTTCAGTTCTTTTGTGAATTTATGTCTTCTCACCCAGCAGTAAACAAGAAGAAACCGAGCACATCCTTATTGTCAGTTCAGCATTAAACCATAAATATATTTTTAAAAGCAAATGGCAAGGACTGCCTGTGATAATTTCAGGCAGGAACAAGGATGGGAGAATGGAGTTAGGGATATCTCTGACTCAATCAGATTGCTTGAGCAATGTGGCCTATTTGCTGTATAGCTGGCTATGTAGGGGATGCAGGTGTGTGTAAAAACATTAAATATTGTCATTTAATAATGATTTTACTGTAAATATATCTTGCAGCCACAATAACAAAGCCTATCCCAGAGTCTTCCTCACTGCAAAGATCACAGCAGAACTTACCAAAATCAAGGTCTAACCTACCTGGTACAGCTCAAGTAAGACTTAACAATAAATGTATACATTTCTGTTGACATTTTAAGATATATTTTTAGAGTTTACATATGAAGACAAATCTGCTCCAAACAAGGAGGAAAAATAAAGTTTATGTAAACATTTTATTTTTAATTGAATTTGTAAGATTGTGTAATAACAGTTTTCATCACCTTGGCAAGAAGTATTTCTCTGAGTGTGCCCTGCCCTTTAAACCAACTCGTTTTGCTACACCTAGGAGTGTAAATTAAAATTAAAGTGGAAAAAAACACTACAGGCTGATCCAACTTTGATGTAATGTCCTTAAAACAAGTCAAAATGAGGCTCAGTAGTGTGTGTGGCCTCCACGTATCTGTATGACCTCCCTACAATGCCTGGGCATGCTCCTGATGAGGTGATGGATGGTCTCCTGAGGGATCTCCTCCCCCACTTGGACTAAAGCATCCCCCAACTCCTGGACAGTCTGTGGTACAATGTGGCGTTGGTGGATGGAACGAGGCATGATGTCCCAGATGTGCTCAATTGGATTCAGGTCTGGGGAATGGGCGGGCCAGTCCATAGCATCAATGCCTTCGTCTTGCAGGAACAGCTGACACACTCCAGCCACATGAGGTCTAGCATTGTCTTGCATTAGGAGGAACCGAGGGCCAACCGCATCAGCATATGGTCTCACAAGGGGTCTGAGGATCTCATCTCGGTACCTAATGGCAGTCAGGCTATCTCTGGTGAGCACATGGAGGGCTGTGTGGCCCCCTAAAGAAATGCCACCCCACATCATTACTGACCCACTGCCAAACTGGTCATGCTGGAGGATGTTGCAGGCAGCAGAATGTTCTCCACGGCGTCTCCAGACCCTGTCACGTCTGTCACATGTGCTCAGTGTGAACCTGCTTTCATCTCTGAAGAGCACAGGGCGCCAGTGGCGAATTTGCCAAACTTGGTGTTCTCTGGCAAATGCCAAATGTCCCACCTGTGGACGTCGGGCCCTCATACCACCCTCATGGAGTCTGTTTCTGATCGTTTGAGCAGCCACATGCACATTTGTGGCCCGCTGGAGGTCATTTTGCAGGGCTCTGGCAGTGCTCCTCCTGTCCCTCCTTGCACAAAGGCAGAGGTAGCGGTCCTGATGCTGGGTTGTTGCCCTCCTACGGCCTCCTCCACATCTCCTGATGGACTGGCCTGTCTCCTGGTAGCGCCTCTATGCTCTGGATACTACGCTGACAGACACAGCAAACCTTGCCACAGCTCACATTGATGTGCCATCCTGGATGAGCTGCACTACCTGAGCCACTTGTGTGGGCTATAGACTCCGTCTCATGCTACCACTAGAGTGAAAGCACCACCAGCATTCAAAAGTGACCAAACCATCAGCCAGAAAGCATAGGAACTGAGAAGTGGTCTGTGGTCACCACCTGCAGAACCACTCCTTTATTGGGGATGTCTTGCTAACTGCCTATGCTTTCCACCTGTTGTCTATTCCATTTGCATAACAGCATGTGAAATTGATTGTCAATCAGTGTTGCTACCTAAGTGGACAGTTTGATTTCACAGAAGTGTGATTGACTTGGAGTTACATGAGTGTCT